CCAATATATACCTTTCACACATGAAAAACACAGCAGGAGATTTTGCACACACAACAACATAGAAGTCTCTGGAGTGTTCACGTGAGGGTAATTCCCCTTGGACTTGTTAGTACAAACAACACTTTTCACATGTGACTGGTCACGTGACCCATCGTTCACATAAAAACATTGATAGTAGCTGAACCTGGGTCTTACAGTTGTAGTAGTTTTGGTTCAAAACACGCTCCTCTGTGCGCTGATGGATCTCTGGAGCATATACTGTTTACAACATTGCTCCACTGCAGGCTTTCATGGATGCTTGTGTCATCAGCTCAGACAAACCCACCAATGAGGAACAAGCAGTTGCAACAATAAACAAGAATTGCAACGATAATCTTTGAAATTTGTTTTCAGTGAATCCAGTTCAGGTTAATTTCCCCACCTCTGACTTGTGGTAAGTTTACACTCCTTTCTTTAAAGCTGTCAAAAAGAAAGAGGGATGTTATGTATTATCACAGCCAATATGTCCCTGCCTCTTTCCGTAAAAAACAATTCCAGCTCAATTGCAATGAATTTTCAACACATTTTCATATAACTTATTTATTCTTGTCTTAACACACACACTAACACACGCTCACACACATTCTATTGATGAATTATTAAAGTATCTATTTCTATTTGACACAGGCTGAAGATTTGAATTCACTTGTTTTGAGAGGGCAAACAGAACAGGTGGTGTGGCTGGTAATCTCCGTGTCTCTCACTTTGGTCGAGACTGAAAAGTCTCAAGAACTGGTTGGATCTCTGTTTAGAGATTCATGTTCCCAACAGGTAATAAATAACAATAATTGAGGAGATCCCTTCATTTTTTTTAATCTGGCACCGTCATCAGACAACGGTTTGTCCAATCCTCCATTCAGTTCTATTTTATGAAAAAAAATCTTCATTGCAGATAAACCAGGTAGGATGAACAAAAAGTTTTCTTACTTCACTCTGCACTGTTTATAAAAATCTCTGCACACAACATCCAGCACACAAACAAGAGAAAGTGACAGTGCAGCTGTTTGAGGAGGACTCACTAATGACAAGGAAGAATTCTGAAGTAGCTCCAGAGCTTTAACACAGAACAGAACATTCCATAGCAGTTCAAAAATTATCCTTCAAATACAAAATGCTAATGCACTGAGCTAAATTGGTGAACATCTGCTAAACATGTATATGATATCATTCTGAGCATTTTACTCAAAGCACTGTTTTGATGACTATGGTGCCGAGCTGCTACATTAGCTGCCAAATATCATTACGTAAACGGTATGGCATATTTCTTGCAGTGGATAATTTTGCTGCAAACAATAATTTTTTTAAGTGGCCACAATTTAAAAACAAAAAAACCAAGTGAAGTGAAATGTCACAGAATGATATCTAACAGAGCGCGTCTGAAGAGGACTCTTCCTTTAAATCTAAAGTTGTTCAGTGCAAAGCACAATAAAGCTAAAAGTGTCCGGGTGTCTGTGCACCCATGGGACTGCTGAAACAAACCAAAGCAATAAACCCCTGGAAACTACACAGTCAAAAGAACTGAAGAGACCAAAGGCAGCCAGCTCTCCGTTATATCCACCACCTGAAGCTCTTCATATCCCTGCCCAAGCACCGTGGAAACACACACACACACACACACACACACAGACACACACACACACAGACAGACACACACAGATCTTCTTATACCAATATGGGAATCATACAGTGTGATATGGCCTCACTGACAAAAATTCTCTGGGATTGTGCTCATCGCTGGCTCATGTACCAGTGCTGTGGGCTTCTGTTTGTCCCTGATCTTCAACATTTTGGTAGAAGTGTGGATTCCAATAAAGGCTTGTTAAACAACAGATTTCATTCTCTGACTCAAGAGGGCCCTACATGGCCCAGAGGCGTAAGCTGCTCCTTTGAACATCCAAATCCCCATGCAGCGACTGACTTCCCTTTGTTATTCACTGGTGGATGCTCCTCCACTGTTTTTCCGTATGTGCTATCACTCTGGAAAGGCTCCAGTGTAGGGGGAGCTTTTAGCTGTAAGAGATCATCTCATTGAGATCATCAAGCCCCAGTTAATTGAACTTTTATATGATATCCTTGTAGGAGCATAGGGTGAACATATTGTTTTAATAAAGAATTCATCAGCCAGAGATGGGGAGCCAGATTTAATGAGCCCTCCCCTGTAATGGGGATGAGAGACGTAGAGCTAACACTCTGCTCTCAGCCGTGATGTCTGCTGCCCTCCCCTGTCTGCTGCTGTGAACACACACACACTCAACACATTCTGATATAGCGGTAAGGGTTTTAACACCAAAGTACCTATTGTTAATTTATACAAATAGTAATTACATTCCAAGACCGTCCAAACATATGTTCCTGTTTCTATGATTTTTAAAATGTTAAACTTAAAAACAGAAGCTTAAAGGTCCAGTGTGTAAGATTTAGGTGAAAGGGAACTATCGGCAGAAATTTAATGTAGAATAACCCTCATGATGTTTTCACCAGTTCGCTTCATCTAAATTATATGAATTGTAGTTTTCTTTACCCCAGAAAAGAACATTTATATTTAAATACTTTATATTTACACTGAGGGGACCCTCTCTACAGAGGCCGCCATGTTTTTTACATTAGTCCAGACTGAACAAACTAAACACCTTTTGAGTTTTTATGACAACTGAAGTTACAACAAGTTCTTTTTCATGTTTGGAAGGAGAGAGTGAGGTGAGGGGTGTTCAGCTGCAACATGACACTTCAACACTAGATATCACAAAATTCTACACACTGTACCTTTAACACAAAACGTCAAAGGTATTTCATTATCAGCTGTTTGGCCCTTTTCAGCCTTTAGGGGGAAAAAAACAATACATTTAACAGTGGTTAAAGTTCACAGTGACCTCACGTGTCCATAAAAAAACATTAATGTAGATGTAAACTACACATATGTTCCATTAAAAACTTGACTTCAGGACATAACAAATCATCTTGGATCTTGAATGCAGTCTTGCTCCTTGACCCCTGATCGGTGCAACATATCAAACACTGACCTGAGGAATGATTTTGACTGCAGGCACAGACTCTCAGACTAAACTAGAAGAAGTGTAACAATGGAGGTAAAGCTGACACATTTAAAGATGGAATTAAAAAGGGCTTCACACTGAAGTACAGTACGTTGTTAGCATTTCTCTGCCATTCATTCCTGTGTTTGATTGATTCTTTTTCAGCAGCAGTGATCAAAAGGCAGGAGGAGACGAAAGATTAAAGAAGATAAAAGAAGAGTCAGAGATAACAAATCCACGTCACCATGTCACCTCCAGTCGTGGTTAACAGGCAGACCTGGAGATATTGCTCTTCATATCTTTATGCAAACGTCTCGTACTTTAACTGGCTCCGTCAGATATTGGCAAACTGGGAAGCGCAGACCACACTGTGTCTTTGCTGTGGAAGTGAATGTGTCCAATCATCTCCTCTCGGACTCCTGTCCTCAGACCGGAACGAGCAGAGGGGGTGTGGCATGTCTGAGAAAATAACAAATTCTTTACCTTGTGAACAAAATATCTCAAGAACGCCTGAAGGGAATTTATGCTAACTCGGTACAAGTATTCACTTGGATTCACAAATAAACTCAATACAATTTGGTGGTCAAAGGTCAAAGGTCAAGAACACAGTGACCTCACAAAATTATTTTTGTCAATGTGTTAAGCTTAAAAACACATTAAGAGAATCATTTTCAAATTGGCACAAATGTTCACTTATTGGAATTTCCCTTATTGGATTAATAAAGTATTTCTGATTCTGATTCTGACTAAACTCACAGATTAATTGATTAGATTAAGATGGTCAAAGGTCAGGGTCACATGACTAATACAACATTTTTTGGCCTCTTGAACATGATGTCTCAAGTCTGCCTTTAGGGACATAATTCAAATTCTGACTGGCTGTCACTTGGACTCAAAGATGAACTGATTAGATTTCAAGTCAAAGGTCACGTGACCTAATAAGACACATGTATGCAGGCTGAATCAGCTCTGGTTGGTGTAGGCCCACAACCACAGTTTGGTATTTTTTAGCTTCAGAGCTGAGAACATATAGAAATAGTTATAACTATAAACTGTTTGCTGTTTGCTCATTCTTATACCTCCATTAATTTGAAGAAAGGACCACAGGGGGCCTGCATAGAGTCACTCAGGGCCCCACAATCTGGGCACGTTTGCTCTGTAAAATGTAAAAGTTTGTTGGGGAATGTTGTTTCCCTCTGAGATAATAAATGATATTTGGAAAGTCCAGTTGGGGAAACAGAGTCAAACACACATCCAAACGCCGCCAGGAGAACAGGGAACAGCCTCAGAAGTTTTCTCTGCTGAGCTCCCTGCTGCAGACAGGACTTGTGTTGCTCAACCGTGCTGAAACTACATGGTGACCAGTTGTGTATCACTCAATGCCCTCCCCAAAACTCAGTGCCATGTGGACCTTCTCCAGTTCTGCAGGCAGTGGGGAGTGCAGGATGCTGGCAGCGAGCAGGACTTTGACATCTCACTTTTGGGAATAGGGAGGTGGCTGCAAGGTTCCAACCAACTTGGGGGAGTGACTCAGATGGAGCAGGGGGGGTGCTTTGGGGTTATAACAGCAAACCACCGCCCCCTGCGTTTGGACAACTTTGTGCACGTCCCTCTTTCCCTGTGGTTGAGTCCGAGGCAGGAAGTGCGTCCTTCTCCTCCGCTGCAGTCCGCTTCTGTCGCGTTGTCTGCAGACATGGCACCTGTGCTCCGGCTCTGCGCTGTCATCCTCGCGTCGGTGCTCGTGCACACTGCGACGTCGGCGCACCTCAATGAAACGTAAGTCACCGCGCTGCGCTGCAAAAGTTTGGCATGTGCGTCACGGCTGCGAGACGCCAAGTGCACGCGCCAGGTTAGGGTTCGCGTTAATGCGTGAGAGTCAGCTGCGCGTGATTGGGTTAACAAAAAGTTACAACAAAAGTCAAGTTGTGTTGCGGGTCGTTTTTTTTTTTAATGTGTGTGTTTGGAATCCTCAGTAACTTGGCCTCAGGACTCCATTACGCAATGACGAGTAAAGATGGAGCGTGTGTGTGTGTGTGTGTGTGTGTGTGTGTGTGTGTGTGTGTGTGTGTGTGTGTGTGTGTGTGTGTGTGTGTGTGTGTG